ATAGAGTACTTGTAAAAACATACAGACACGCAAATGGATTGCTGCCAGACAGAAAATATAAAGGCGGTTTGCCTAACCGCAGGGTGCCGAGTTTTGTACATGTGCCATGCCGGTGCTGTTAGTACAGAGTATGTTGTGTTGCTTGGGGAAAAGCAGATTGCATTTGGACCTTTTTAGCTTAAGAGTCTTCTGTAGATCTTTAGGTGAAAATTATGGATCAGCACAAAGTGAAGAAGCCATGCAAAATAGGCATTTTGTGAAAACACCAATGCAACTTGTTTTCCTTTTTGGTGTTAATTTTGTAAAAACTATTGCATAATATTCTTGATTGCCAACTGCCACTGAGTTCTCTTCTATTGCTTCATTGTGGAGTCAAGGGGCCTCAAAATTCTCAAAGCTTGCTAATAGAATAAAATTTTTAAATGTTCTTTCAGGTCCAGAAGGTTGATTATAATCTAGGCTCAATTGATGGGCTGTGGGTCTCTTGTCAAAGAATCAATGTAGCTGAATACATAGAGGCTTATTACTAGAATGTTCGTCAAGACCTGTTGAATTTTTTTGACCCCAGTAACTTTTATAAAGATAGTTTACAATAGCCTAGCGGTCTTACAATCTGCATCGGTAATCGACATATAATGAAATCATGGATTCTAGAACTATTGAAGTGTGAAGTATTGAGTGATTGCTATATTGGATATTTGTGGTTAAAAGGAAGAAGCTTTGTTCATTTAAATTGACCCAATCTAATATGTGCCAAAGCACTATTAGGTGGACTATTAGGTGGTCTTAAAAAAAAAAAGGCTTGTAGGTTATATTTTAGGGAGTATGAACATTTCTCTGCTATCATAAATAACATTTATTAAGAGATTAGGAAAATCAGAGCTGCAAAAGCTTGTAGACTGATTGTAGCATATGATAAATTATTTATTACCTGGAAACTTTTGTTTGTAAGAAATCCAGAATCTCTAGTACAGTAGCCTCAAGAAAGGTAAGTGGATTGATTTGATAGATTGTGTTATGCTTAAGTAAAGTAGGATTTCATAGGAAATCTATTTCTTATAATCAGTCCTATTGATTTATGCATTCTGGAGCTCAAGAAGTCTCCATTTACTATTAGTATTTTAAAGTAATTTGGTGCTTCCATCAATAGGATCACTTTCTTTTTGCTCATTTTGTTATTGTTTGTTGTTCAGTTGTTTCAGTTGTATCTGACTTCTTCACAACCTTACTTGGAGTTTTCTTGGCAAAGATGGTAGAGTGGTTTGCCATTTCTTTCTCTAGTTCATTTTACAGATGACGAAACTGAGGTGAACAGGGTTAAGTACCTGGATCACACAGCTAGTAAGTGTCTGAGGCCAGATTTGAACTCAGGAAGATGTCTTCCTGATTTCAGGAGCTCTATTCACTGTGCCATCAAGCTGCTGTCTGCTCATTTAATATATTATTTTTTTTAATTATAGAATTTTCTGGTTTATGAACAGACCCTAGACATTGGAAGGTTAAAGTTGAAAGAAGCCATGCTTATTTGCCTATCAGTCTCCCTCCAACCCCTTGCTCTGCAACTATACACCCCTTAGAATCCAAGCTTCATGAAGGCAGGTATTGCTTTGTTTTTCATCTTTATTTTCATGGCATCAAGCATAGTGCCCTGCACATAGTAGGCACTTAATAAATTTTTTTAAAAATAGAATATTAGAAAGTAGAACAAAGAATGTTAGAACTGAAAGAGATGGTAGGATCTAGAACAGACAATATTAGATCAGGAAGTCTTCTATAGTAATTACTTATATGTTAGTTTAAATATTTCTAGTTCCTTAGTATTCTGGTTGGTTAAAGCAATGATAGCAAGTTGCATGTTTAGCTAACTTTTTGTCACTTTCTAGAAGAATCAAAGTAATTTTTGAAAAAAAAAAACTAATAGCATATTACATATTTGAATGGAAAATGGCTGCTGATATTTGTTATCGAAGGGCTGATAAGGGATACAAGGTTTTGTAGGAACACAGTGAGTGATTTGGAGGAAAAACAAGAAAGCTAGCAGTTAGATATGCTAGATTATTTTAAAAATTCTTAATCTTTTTTGTGTTAGGAATTTCTTTGGCAATCTGCTGAAATCCATGGACCCCTTCTCAGAATGATCTTTTTAAATGCTTAAAATATGTAGGATCACAAAGAAACCATTGAAATAGTTATCAAAATATATATATTTTTAAAGAAGTTCACAAACTCAAGGTTAAGAACTGCTCTATGGAGATTTTTTTCTCTTGGGGCATCAGTTTGTGTTGAATTCAAGTTGTCAGTCATGTTGTTTTAGAAATTATAGCAGTTAGCATTTATTTTTGTTCTTTCTCATAGCATTAATAATGTAGAATTACATTTACCTTATACTTTAAGGTTTATGTAGCAGGTAGTACAAGTACTGTGATTCCCATTGATTGATGCAGAAACAGGCCTCCTGAAGGGAAAGGACTTGCTTCTGGTCGCTCCACAGAGTAAACTCTGGAATCAGGTCTTCTAATGATAAACCTGTTGATCCATTTACTGGACCACATTGCTTGTCAATACATAGAACACTTTAGAAAAGCTTTAGTGGATGACAAGGCTGCTCCTTTGCCTGCTAATCCCTGCTTGTGTAGGGCCTTTTCATTCAATAGGACATTTTGACTGCCCTGTAGGCTGCTGTCTGTGGAGGTCAGATGCAGTAAACTGGTTCCAGTCCAGGATGATTGCTATTCCTGAATTGCAAAAGCTTGTTATTCTGAGTTGGTACTGATGTCCCAACCAGTTTTGAAACGTGATTGGCTCCTGAGTTCTGTGCTTTTTCCACAAACTGTGGTCCTAATGCAGTCTGTTAATTGAAGAGCCAAAATTCTTTTTACTAACACCCTTTTCCAATGCTTTATAATAGTGTGGTGATTACTTTGGGTTCTCTAAGGCTATGCCAGAGGTACATAAACTCTAGGTAGATTGTACTAAATTGTAAAGTCTTCCAGTAAAAGCTTGGTGATGAATTTTATGTCTGCCATCTGGAGGCTAGCCTAGCTAAATTGGGAGAGATTCATCATTGGAAGATTAATGAATTCTTTTGGTCATAGCAAATCATGCTAAGTGCCTGCTAAGGTGTAGAGGGATTGCCATTCCTCTGTTGGTGGATTGAATACTCATAATGATGAAATCATGGGTCTTTTTGAAGTACTGAATAAAAATAAAGATTTTTTTTTTAAACAAACCTTAACCATATAAAAAGATCAGAATTTGGGTAAATATGGATTGGAAGGAGACTAGCATCTGGCAAAAATACATTCAACACAGCAAACTTATCAATAGAAAGAACAAATAGTTCAAATTTACCAGATCCCTTTTGTATATTTTGCAAAAACAAACTATAATGACGATCTTAATGTCCCTCTGAAAATAAACCACTTCCTTCTTATTTTTGAAAAGTTAGCTGTTTTACTAATCAATAGCAAATGGTATTCTAATAGTTTCTAATTAGAAAGCAGTGGTGTAATGGAAAGAAGACTGGATCTAGTCAGAAGACCCGTGTTTGAGTATCAGCCGAAACTTCGTAGTTGTATGACCGGGGGCAAATCAACCACCTCCAGCATGTGTCATTTTCTTTTTTTGTCAACTTAGCCAATCTGATGTGTACGAGCTGGTACCGCAGAGTTGTTTTAATTTGCACTTTTCTTATTATTAGTGAATTAGAGCATTTTTTCATATGACTATTGATAGCTTGGATTTCTTCCTCTGAAAACTTCCTATTCATGTCCTTTGATCATTTATCAGTTGAGGAAGAAATAAATTTTTATTAAGCACCTTCTATATGCCAGTCACTGTGCTAAATATTTTACAACAACCCTGGGAAGTAGGTGCTATTACCATTTACAGTTGAGGAAACTGAGGCAAACAGAGGTTAAGTGATTTGCCCAAGATCACCCAGATGCTAAGTGTCTGAGGCTGGATTTGAACTCAGGACATCCTGACTCCTGGTCTAGTACTGTACTCACTGTGCAACTTAGTTGCCTTATTGGGCTATTGTGAGGAAAGTATCTCATAAACCTAAAGTTCTAGGTGAATGGGAGCTCTAATTATTGTTAGTAGTTCATTTATCTGTTGACTTATTGACAAAATTGGTTGACCATGGAAATGTAATTTTGTAAAGCAAATGAACTTTTATAATTTTATTTGAAATAGAGTATCATGGATGCTATTTTCCTCTAGGCTTTTTGAGTGAGGCTAACTGTATCAGACAGAACATGATTTCTTCTTATATTTTACTACCATGTTGTGTATACTGAAAAACCAAACTGGTATTAGGGGTTTTCCTCATCATATTCTATTCTAAAACATTTGATAATGGGCAGAGAAGATTTAGGGCATATTCTCTAGCATCTTCAGAATTGTTTTCTAAATATTTGGGAGATTTTTCATTATGATAGTGTGAGCCTTATCCCCTCTATTTGAATTAGCCTTGAAAGGGTTCAGTCCTTTGTGCCCCCTCCCCCTCCCCCATCCCTCACCCCCCCCACCCCACCCAGTGGTGTGAGAGAAGATTTTTCCAGCCCACATCTGTAGTTGGGTAAAGGAGGCTCCTGATTAAAGTTGAAAAGTCAAAGCAGATTTAGAAACCATTTTGTGTGTGTGTGTGTGTGTGTGTGTGTGTGTGAGAGAGAGAGAGAGAGA